ATGTTGACATGGAGCTAGGCTCATATCTGCTCACAAGAAACATTGACCGCGAAGATGACCCCATAACCTGGTGGAAAGAACACAAGGGACAATATCCTAAACTCTCTGTGCTGGCAAGGAAATACCTCTGTATACCTGCTACAAGTTCCCCATCAGAAAGGGTTTTCAGCACAGGGGGGAACATAGTAACATGTCAGCGTTCCTCCCTGAAACCTCAAAATGTTGATAGGTTAGTGTTCTTGGCCAAGAACCTTTAAGGTTCTGTGCCAATTGGAGCAAAAAGCACAGGTTCTATTTTTTCTTTTTGTAGGCTATATGTTAATGTTTTCTTATGTTCAACAACATAAAGCTTGTTCAATTTAAGGGGTAGTTTACAGTTGTCAAGCAATTTTGCATTACACACACACTAAATGAAGACATTCAGAATTTAAATTAATGTTATTATTCTGAACTTTAATTAATGTAATTAAACAAAGAACTTAGACTGTCCGCTCTTGTTTATACTTTAGATCAGAAGTGTCAGTGACTTTATTATACTGAATTTCCTGTGTGTTTTGTTGTTGTTGTTTTTTTGTACTTGAGTGCAATAAATTGTTTGAAAAAAAATGAGAATCGTGTAAGAGAATCGTGATCTCAATTCCCATGGAGAAAAATCGTGATTCACATTTTAGCAAGAATCGTGCAGCCCTAGTGCTCGCCCCACCCCCTGCTGGAGCCTTTCGGTACTGCACCATAACAAACTACATGAACCAATGAAATAACCAATCATAAACGATAATATTCTCTTCTCAATACCCGCTACATTACTCCCCCCCAAGATTAGATGTTGTCCTCAACATCAATAACTCAGTATTAGTACTATTTTTTTTAAGCATACTCAGTATAATGGTTACAAACTGGAACTCTTTTGATACATACAACTTTGTCTTCTCAATCCAACATCAATATAAGTGCAATTCGACAAATGCATACTGATTACAGACTGGAACTCTTTTTCTACATTCGGCTTTGTAATTCAACATCACACTTAATGTTTACAGCCTGGAACTCTTTTGTTACATTCAGCTTTGTTTCCTCGTCCCAACTTAGGTACGTAAGGTTCAGTCTGTCTGGCTCATCCCATAATGGATCGATTCATTTAGTCTCCGACTAGACAGCACACTGAATATCAGCAACACCAACTACTGTTTCAAATCCCAGACTGTGAGGTGTGTGTCGAACGTTCATGTACTCACACTAAATTTGAGTCCTTGAGGAAGAATTACTCAATTCAGTATTATTTCAAGTCTTGAAATGTAGTTCATTGACTTATGGACCCCGTTTACACCTGGTATTAAAATGCGATCTGTATCCAGATAAGTTATCCGGATAACAAAAAACTCATGTTAATGCAAGGTGTAAACGCGTTGTGATCGGATCGTGATCGGATCTGCCTGACCACATCTGGAGGTAGTCTGGCTCGCATTGTGTCCGGATCTTTACTAGGTGTAAACGCAATCTGGTTGTTGAAACCACATGTATATTTTACTCCTCCCAAAAATGCTAAAAAATAAACGAGTGAGAGCGTGTTATATAGGCTATGTCATGTTATAGCCTAGTCAGATGCGACACGCGACACGCATCACCGCAGATGAGCAGCTGAGCGTCTATTCAACGTGCAAACATCGCAAATAAAAGTGAAAGTAAGTCACAGACGCAGTTAACACATCTTCAAGTAAAGAAACGAAATTATCTTACCAGGCCTGTTGCCACTCTCTCTTATTGATGTCTCTGATTAGGAAATTAGCTGATGATCAATAAAATGCCGCTCAGATCTATTGCTTTTGGTGGCGTGCAATCCAATAAATCTGCATATAACGCAGGAGGTGAAGATCGGATTTATATCCGTTTTGCAAAAACACATTTATGTGGCCAGGTGTAAATGGAATCAGTACTTATTATCCGGATAACTTATCTGGATACAGATCGCATTTTAATACCAGGTGTAAACGGGGTCATGAAGACACAAAGTTTTGTCTCAAATCATTGAGGGTCTATTCAAACATCAAGAAAGTATTTGAACTTGCATTCCATAAGAGTATACCGGCTGATGATAGTAAGGTTGCAATTGATACGTCCACGTTTGAGGAATGGAATGGAACGGTAATGCAGTAAGGCCATAACAAGAGGGGGACCCAATTGTATCATATCTAAAGATCTTTGGTGGTCTACGCTCCCTCTGTGGTCACTTAGGCATAGTCTCCGTTTCGCTTTCATCACTGCTTCCAGAGAACTGTGGTATTTCCGCAACTGTTTCAAGTTCAACTAAATCATCCGCTACCCCAGGTAAATCATTGGCTGATGTATCCTCACCAAGACAATCATCATTCCTCTCAATCTTTGTTGTTTCTACTGCATGCTTTTCGACTTGAGGCATTTCTTCACCTTCAGCCACTTCTTGTGGTAGCTGGATGTCCATGACATAATAGTCATCCTCATCATCCTCTACCTCTCCATCCAGCTCTCTAGTGACTTTCGCTGGCCTGGCATCTTTTCTTTTTGGTTTTACGGGTGGGAGCCCCTCAGTTTCCAATGGTAAGTGATCACATGGTAATAATAGGTTTCTGTGCATGACTCTTGATCTCCCTTTTCCATGTTCAGGTCTCAGTTCATAAATAGGAACATCATTTCCCACTTGTTTAACAACAACATGAATTGAGTCCTCCCAATGATTTCTCAACTTTCCAGGTCCACCTCGCGGAGTCAAATTCCGGACCAACACGCGGTCGCCAGGGCTCAGTACTGTGCTCCTTACTTTGCCATCATAGTTTCTCTTATTTCTCTGGGCAGCTTTGTGAGCATTTTCCCTGGCAATAGTGTATGCTTCCTGCATTTCATGTTTCCATTGTTCTGCATAATTCTGGTGACTACCTCCATCTACATCACCCAGAAGATTGAACATGTCGACTGGTAACCTCGGAGAGCGGCCATCCAAAAGGTAGAATGGGGAAAACCCTGTCACTTCGGTGCGTGTACAGTTGTAAGCAAATAAAAGTTTGTTCAGGGAGTTCTTCCAATTGGTCTTATCTTTGTCTGTGAGGGTCTTAAGCATCTGTAACAAGGTTCGATTAAATCGTTCCACCTGTCCGTTCCCCTGTGGGTGGTAAGGGGTTGTTCTCGAGCCAGCCACACTGCAATACTTGCTGAGTTGTGAAAAGAGTTGATTTTCAAACTCACCTCCTTGATCATGGTGAATGCGCATCGGAAAGCCGAACTTGAGGGCATAATCATTGAATATTTTGTCTGCTACTACTTTGCCTGACTTCGATGTGGTCGGGTATGCTTGTGCAAAGTGCGTAAAGTGATCCACAATTACTAAAATGTATTCATAGCCACCCCTACATTTGTCAAGGTGGAGGAAGTCAACAGACACAAGTTCAAACGGATGGGTTGAGGTGATGCTTACGAGAGGTGTTCTAGTTTCACGGTTGGGTTTCTTTTGTTTTAAACACATACAACTCATAACATGCTGTTCTGTTTCACGCTGCATATACGGCCAAAAGAAGCGGTCTCGAATCAAAGATAGTGTCCTTTCGGTTCCCTGATGTCCCATTTGGTCGTGCAGTTCTCTCAACACTGTGGTTTTATGTTTGTTAGGAATTACCGGCTGTTTTCTAGGGACAGTTTTCCTCCAGAGGACTCCATGTTCATCTACTTCCAGCTTGTCCAGTTCCCTGGCTATACAACGACTCTGTGGGCAAAAGTCCCTTAGCTGGCTACGTGATGGCTTTGCTCGGGACAACTTATACTGCAACACCAGTCCAATGTGTGGGTCATCTTCCTGATCTTGTCGGATTTGTGCTGGTGTCAGTGAAGCAACAACGGTGCTTTGAGGCACAAATACATCCTCAGCAGATATTGCCATAGACCATGTTGCAGTCATCTCTGACTGTAATCCTACCGACTGCACAGCAGCTCCTACTGTATCATATGAGATTTCCTCTGTGAAGTCATCCAGCCCGGTCTCTGCATCTAATGGCATCCTAGACAAGAAATCAGCGTCTGTGTTTTCCTTTCCTGGGCGGTATTTAATAGCAAAGTTAAAGTCAGCTAATTCTGCTACCCATCTACTTCCTGTAGCATTTAACTTAGCAGTAGACAAGACGTACGTTAGTGGATTATTGTCACTGTAAACTGTGAAGAAGGGTGCATAATAAAGATAGTCGCGGAACCTCTCAGTTATCGCCCACTTAAGAGCAAGAAATTCCAATTTACCTGAGTGGAGGTAATAGTTTTTTTCAGATTTTGTCAACGCTCGTGATCCATATGCAATTACCCTGAGCTTCCCATCTTGTTCTTGTTCTATTCTCTCTCTCTCTCGCTCTCTCTTGGTTGAACCGAATTACAAGGACATTCGCGGGCTTCATTGAACAGGTTTTGCCGCTTTGCTTGATGTTATAACGTTACTCTTGCAGTGCGCGTTTTCTCCCGCGGGAATTTTCCTACAAATGCTTCACAGAGGCATTATTTATGTCTTTTGGAATGCAGTTGGCTTATATTAAAACTATGAAAATCACTGAGAAGGCTGCTTTCATTTTAAAATACTAACACGTGCTTTGTGAACCCACATGGAAAAAACCTATATAAACATATATGTTTTAATATAGGTTTTGATATATGTTTTTAATATATGTGACATATATAAAATTGGCCGTTTTCCTATATTATATGTACATATATGCACATATATGTACATATATACGTGCATATATGTACACATATATACGCACCTATATAGGTACATGTATGCACACATATATGTACACATATAGGTGCATATATGTACACATATAGGTGCATATATTTGTGCATATATGAACCTATATATGTACATGTATGTACGCATGTGCACATATAGGTGCATTTATACATGCACCAACATGTTTACCTATATTAGAATAATTATTAAAATCCATAGCTACTAGGCAACATAAATAATAGTCCAAAATGTATGCATTTAGATTATTTATTTACTTAAGATCAAATAGTACAAAAACAAAAATAAGACAAAAAAACTGGATAGAAAAAAAATCTTTTTGATCTTCTCAGCTCCATGAGCTTTGAATTGATAGACGTGCCCATCTCCCCTCGGCTGGCTGACGGACACTTCTTCAATGTAGCATCTAGAGAAGACAATAATAATAATAATAATAATAAGAAGAAGAAGAAGAATATAGTACTTCATCAGGAACCCAAAGTGCTTACAGTACAGATGTGATCGGACACATATTTTTTGATAAAAGGTTGATCATTTTAAAAAATGCGTCATGTAAACATGTCAATTGGAAGATTCTGAAGATTCTGAAAAATCTGAAACGTGGCTTAAGAAAAGGAAAGTTAGGATCAAGAACTTAGCAAGCGATGAATTAGTATTATAGGTTCCAAGTAGATATAGTAACAATAATCCCTTATACAGTCTCAATTGATGCCTAATAAACATTGATACAAGTAGGCTATGGTTAAAGTGGTGAACTTATAAAATCCTAATGCGTTGAGAAGGGAAAACAAAACTTTTATACATTTACTCACCAATAATGATGCCTTTTTAATTTGGTCAAGGGCGACCAGCTGCTCCCCATCCCCTCTGGTTGGCTTCCCACCTTAAAGTAAAATTTCAAAATTATTATAAAAGGGGGTTAAAATGAAGCTTGTGAAAGCAATACTTTTTTTATATACACATCACATTTTCTTGAGGTGCAAGGAAATACAAAAATGGCAAGTAAAAAAGCGATGGTATGCCCGCACACAAACATAATTTATTCCACAGAATATTAATTGTTTTTTATGGACAGAAGAGATTAGGAGAATGTTTTGTACCATTCAGGTTGTTTTTCAGCAAAGTCTCCAGATCAAATGTGCCCAGCAGCAGATTCCACACCATGGCAGTAGCAGAGGTGGCAAGGAGGGCTGCTTTCCACACTTCTGCCTGGCAAAACACCCCAGAGCCCTTTAAAACTTCAATCTGAAAAATAATTTATTCATTTATTGGCATTGTTTCATATTGATTCTTATGCTTAGCTTCCCAATAGTTTATATGTTTTTATGTATGAATGCAGATTAATGATAAAGAAACAAAATAATAATATTACACAAAATAATAATATGAAACAAATTAATAATTGCCCTAAATGTTCTTAAAGGAGAGGAGGAGGAGGATAGGGTGTCGGGGTGGGGATGGGGATATTTATTAATAAATAAATAAAAATTCAAGGGGGTTACTCACCGGTTGCACTTTTCAAAAGAGGAGGAACCTAAATCCTCAACAGGACTCCTTTCAGTCTTGTTCATAGAAGAAAAATAAAAGTTATTCTCTTCAATAAATTGAAGTGCAAATAACTTAAATCAAATAATTAACACTATCAATCAGCCCAACATCACAAGTCTCTACAGCTCTGCTAGAGAAACAATTCTAAAAAGCAAAATCAGAGGAACTTACCTTTTTGAGCAATAATGGCGAGGTAACTTTTCATCTGAGGTAATTCTAGAAAGAGGTTATATAAAGAAAAAAAAAACAATTACAATCACTTAATCAAAATAGTAATGCCCTAACGTTAATGTTTACTATTTGAAAGACATTTCCTGCAACTGTAAAGGCAAGCCCAATACGGCTCTTTCTTTCACCAATTTCGACCAAATTCAAACTCCACAGGTATTTTTTTTTTTTTCTGGAGCCGATTGCCTTCTTGAGCCGTTGGCAGAGAAGTATCATTTATTCTCATGACGTTATGTTCTCTAGGCCATGACTTTTGATAACCCTCTACGAATTCCTCCAGAAAGAAACAAATAAATACACGTTAATTCTAAATTGAATCTTATCAACGGCTAAGTTATTTTAGCACCCACAGTAACGTTACGTTACCTCACCAGCTAACAACATAGGAAGTGTATGGGCTGAAACAGGTGTGTTTGGCAAAAAATAAATGCTAAGTTTATACTTCTCTGCCACCGCAATTTCCACCCTGCAAATAAATATAAAATTAGGAATACTTACGATTGGTGATAAGTAGGACTTAGAGGATCTCCAATGCTGAAATCGCAATTTTTACTCCCAGCCGTTATCTTCCGGCGCGAAACTTGACTTCATCTCATCGGATACGGATACGGAACGTCAAGCGTTAGGCGGGTGACGTCATCAACTACGGAGCGCTGTAGCGGCCAATCGGCAGTGCAGCAGCATTCGAATTTATTAACCACTGTGAATTGCTCAGATAGATGGTGGGATGATGATGATTATTTGAATGTACGTTCTATTCACTTTTTTTTTTTTTGCTACATTTTGACTGTAATGACCTTTCAGCCAGAAAAAAAAACTGCATTCAGACAATACAGAAAACATTGCAATTTGCATTGAATTTCGTGGATGTATCGGTGAACGTGTGGATGTGTATGGGAAAGTGACTTGAAATTGGAAAAAGGGCTTTTTGGTAAAATGAAAATACAACAAACCCTTTTGTTATACATTTCCTTCTTTTCCACTAAGTCATTCTGATATGTATATAAATATTTATTTATTTATTTATTTGAGCAATATATTGACATATACATACACTCTAAAAATGCTTTGGGTCAAACATGGACAAACCCAAATGTTGGGTTAAAAATGCAATTAAAAAAATGTACAGTTGAAAAAGTGAAAGTGAAAGTTGAATTTGGGTTAAAATTTGAAATTACATTTTTAACCAAACATTTGGGTTTGTCCATATTTCACCCAAATTTGGGTTCAAACAACCCAGCATTGTTTAGAGTGGATGAGCTACAAATGACCAGATCCTGCCATGAGCTACAGTATAGGATACTCTTGTATATAGCACTTATGTGTGGATATAAAGAAGCAATGCAGGAGACCCTATGGCCTGTATATGCACATATATGCACCTAAAATTGCCTATATGTGTCATATATGCACACATATGCAGCATATATCTTATCATATATGTGCATATATGCACCTAAAATTGCCTATATGTGTCATATATACACACATATGCAGCATATATATTATCATATATGTGCATATATGCTGTATATATGCAGCATATATGTGCATATAAACTGCATATAGGTTTCATATATGCGCATATATCCTCATATAGACCATTTCACAAGATGTAAACAACACTGGTCCAGAAGCACTTCCTGTTTCAGTTTTTTAACACTACATAAAAGCTGGGATAAAATACAACCAACAGAACATTTAAAACTGAATCAAAAAGTTAAACAAACATCTATAAGATGTTTTCTTTACATGTGAAATAAAGAAAACAGTTACAAACTGAAACAGGAAGTGCTTCTGGACCAGTGTTGTTTACATCTTGTGAAATGGTCTATAGTTTCTTTCCATGTGGGAAGAGCGCTCGTGCATGCGGCCGTGAGCGACTCATTGGTTAAAGTGCATAAACGTGCATGCCAAACACCTTTTATGACGCGAAATTAATGTAAACACGGTCAGTTATATCTTAAACCAACAGGACAAACCACATTTACAATTTCAAAAGAGACATGTGCATTAGTGTGAATGCAGCTTATATCTAAACTGAGGGGGAATCACTCCAACTCTTGAATGAAAAACATTCTGACAGCCTACTTTTAAATACCGAGACCACTCTTTCTTTATTGCTTGTAATGCTTTTTTGTTTGTCTTTATTTACTAGCTTTTATATTTTGAAGCTATATTATTTTATATAGCCTATTTAAAATTCTTAAAGGTATAGCAGAGGATCTTTCCGAATTTTAGAGAAGACCCGCCCTCTCCAATTTAAAAAAAAAATGCACATGCACAAACACAACACTCTTGCTCCCGAGAGGGAACGTCTATTACGCCTTGCACAATTATGTTGCAAATTCTAAACTAACTCAAAAATATTCATAAAAAAGACAAAAGTCAAATGCCCTTCCGTGTTTTATTTACTTATTATACTGATCGATTGAGTGACCGATGACTCAAGACATGATATGTGGATTATGTGCAACCCTGTATCACACGAAATACGTTCTGAGGAAACTATTTTGCAAATCGCAATTACGTTACATAGCAACATAGAAGCAGTGCTATTACGTTGGTCCTAATATCTCTCATTGTTAATACGTTATTTTTATACATAGTTGCATATGGAGAAGTAGCTTGATGCATTTGTGTAATAATAAACACACAAGGTTTTAGAATATGAACACACAAGATTTTAGAATATTTCAGCGTGATACCATTTACCATTTTGGTCAAAAGGCTACTTTAGACAAAATGAGATGTTTACTGTGTCTATGCGGTGCATGACTCGTGCCAGGGCTAGCATTGTAGCTTGCATTAACTTTTACTAGTGATTTTAAATGGATTTCTCCAAATAGCGTGACAAACTTTACCTGTCTGGTAGAATCTTCGCGACTGCGCCATCAGTGAGAAGCCCAACCTGTGCTTTTAGCGCACGCCAGCATGTGATATTAACCCAAAATCTCTCTGGTCTTGTTTCTATATTCTGTGGCCTTTCTCTTCTTATCATACACTTCGTAAACATTTTTTCTCTTTCGACCCTCAGCCATTTTCAAAGGAATGGCTGAAACCGTAACTCCGACATAATACACCTGAAAGTGAAAACTACATAGGGATGAGCACGTAGCCGACGGCCTTACGTAAACATATCACCAGAATGATTTACACTTAGGTGGACCAATAGTATAGACTACCCACCCGGAAAAAGAAAATCCTCCGCTATACCTTTAACATGTAATTGATTTAATTAAATGTTTTTTTTATATATATTTATTTTTTAAAGTATGTTTTTACACATGTAATTAAATATATATTTTAAGTGTTATTAAGATTAATTAAAAGAAAAAAGTAGATCAGATCATGAGCATTCCCATCCCTACTGTACAATGATTTATCGCTTGTCTTTGTCGACTAATGCAGAAGGTAAATTTTTTTTTTTAAATCGCATATTAAATCGCAATCGCAATATTGGTTAAAAAAAAAAAATAAATAAAAAAAAATAAAAAAAATAAAAATAAAAATCGCAATTAGATTATTTTCCATAATCGTTCAGCCCTAAAAAAAACGGTAAAAAGTCTGGCAGCAAAGTTGCCAACCACTTACCATCAAATTACAGTAAAAAAAGTAAATTATTTTACAGAAATTTTGTTTTTGAAAATGGATATTTACCATAAACATTTTCTGTATTTTTACAGTCAAACTGCTGTAGAAAGAAATATATCATTAAAAAATGTCGGTTGAATGTTAAACGAATGTATAAATCTTACATTATTACAACAAAGACTTCTGTTTTAATACAGTATTATTTGGTATATTTTTAAGATAATCCAATCCATCTACAAGAACTCCTTGTCAAAGTAAAGACTTTTCTATGTAAAAAACACAGAAAATGCTGTATAATTACCTTCAGATACCCTAATTTAAAACCCTACCTGTCACGGTGTATGGTGGAGTGCAGGCAGAAGAAGACGAAAGCAGCTAATGCGCCAATACAAATCACTTTACTTAATAACTCCAACAGGTATAAAAAGACAGGCAGGACCACTCACAAAACACAGGGTAACATCTACAACGACCGACCAAGATTGACTGAATGAGGGAGAACTAAATACAAGCGGGAATCAAACATAATGAGGTGAAAACAGGTGATACAGATGAACAAGACAATGAACAGGAGGCTGATGAGGGAGTGAGTTCAGGTGTGGAGACAAGAGGATCCTGGGAAGTGAAGTGCAGATGACAAAGACAGACTGGTGCAGACGAAGGACTGTGACACCACCTGTATATTGATCGATTTAAACTTTTATTTTATGTCATTATTCAATCTATTTACAGTTAATTCCTGTTAAATATTGGTTTTATCCTGTACAAACAAGAAACATGTTTTTAACAGTTATTGCTTTATTAAAACATTATTTGAAAGTAATTACAGACACATCTCCAATAACTGTATAAGCTTTTACCATCAATGTATGAGGTATGCTTTATATAAACATTGCTTTATACTAATTAAAATCAACTTTCCAATATATCAACATGACATTTACTCAATGTATGGGTTCAATTTATATAAACATTAATAGACAGTAATTACAAGCAATTGTCAAATATATGTAAAAATACACATGTTTATTTTATGTAAACAATATTTGATAGCAATTACAAGCTTGTACAAACTGTCCTAAAAAAGTTAATTTGTCAGATTGATATTCACCCACGTCCTTTCAAAATTCCAACGATGGCTATGATCCTCTGTAGTGGCTCTCACCAGGCCTTGTCCTGAAAAAAAGATAAGATGTACATCCTTGTAAAAATCACCAGAGCAGAGCCATTAGGTTGCCCATTAAAGGGTTAGTTCACCCAAAAATGAAAATTAAGTCATTAATTACTCACCCCCATGCTGTACCAACCCCGTAAGACCTTCGTTCATCTTCGGAACACAAATAAAGATATTTTTGATTGAATTT